TGATTCTTGAATTGGGGCTGCAAGACGCAAGGTCACTGCTCCCCTAGCATTCATCTTCTGATGGAGACAGACAGATATAAGCTTAAACATTGATTAATAAATAAACAAAAACCCACAGAGCGTTTTGGTTAGTATGGAAAGAAAAATAGGTTAATGTGTTCGAATTCGTAAAAAAGGAGACATTTTCAGTCTATCTGAGCTGGAGCCACCTGAATACATGAAGTTCATCAGAATAACCTGGGAGTGTAATCACCCTCTTGGAATCTGGCTCAGATCACAAGGAATTTCTTTTGGTCTGGAAATTCATACAGAAAAAAATTATATTTATATTTAACCAAAGCTGCCTAGGAGTGTCTGATATAAAATTCTGTTTCCTTCTAGTTATTTTTCCAAATAGTGTTGCTTATGAATAAAACATAGTAATGAAAGGGCCCACAATGCCTTCCAGGCAGACACCACCAGGAACACACCTTGCCGTGAGGGAGCACACACACCTAGGGGAAGCACGCGAGACATCTCAGTAATGAGGGAGGACTTACTGTAGTGTCTGGCCTTATATGAGGTTATTTGGGGGTAGGGTTTAAGGAAGCAAAGCTTTGCTGTGGATAAGATGCTGGTAGGAAGTGGGAGTCATTTTATAACTGGTATCTTAGTAAATCTTTTCTAGAAGTAGGAAAGACCACAGCAATGCTAGAATTATAGTGAATAAAGAAAAAAACAGTCATATTAGCTAGGATAGAGGGAACTTTGGTCATTTTGTGGCTTGGGTAACTGTTTTCCTTTTTGTCTGTGTTCAGACGTGATCTTTGTTCAGAGACATGTCTGTGCTCAGAGCTGTCTTTGTTTTTCTTTTGTCTTTATCCTTCATGGCCACCACGTGGCCTTGTCTGGTGCGGATGTTCTGTGCAATTATTTATGGTTAAACAGGAGAACACTGCAGATTGGCTGATAGTGCCCAGCCAGCCCCTGATGTCTGCAGCTGCTTTCCTTTGCTTGTCGAGGCTATCAGTCTAAGAATCAGAGGATAAGAATTATGTCCTAACTCTCATTTTCTGGTAATGTGACTTTGAGCAAATCATTTGATCTTTCTGAATCTCATTTTCTGCATCCATAAAATTGTACTATCACCACCTATTTTATCTACCCCACAGAAAGGTTAAAAGGATCACACTATACTGTGTGTACAAAAAGAACTTTGTAGGCAGAAAAGTGCTGTGAAAGGTAGAGGGCTGCTCTTGTGATTGTCATCAGCACTGTGACCACGGCCATTTTTCTAATGCAGTGGCCACACATAGTGAAGAGAATTAATGATAAGGCACCTCTTAGTGCACTCGCCTCATTCGCGTAATCCTGTCAATTTGACAGACCTGATCTCTTGCTAGAACATCCATACTAGCCCTCTGACAAAAATAAGGACGTTGGAAAGGCTTCTTAATTAAGTGGGGAATTGAAATAGGAGACATAGCACGGAATTTCCCAATGGCACGGGACTTGTTGCTATCTTCTCCGACTGCCTTCATGCTGAAGGTGAGAAGAGTAAGTGGCAGCAAGGTTAGGGGCTCTCTCAAGGTCACCAAGTGAGCTCATGGCAGATCGGGGTCTGGCCTGAGCTCTCAAAATTGTACCACAGAAGAACAAGGGATGTTTATTTGTCTGGGAAGGAGAAGGGGGTTGGGCTCAGCACAGGAGGAAGAGGTAGAAAAGGAGCTTTTGGAGGATGAGGGGAAGTAGAAAGCTGGAGACAAGGACCGGAGAGAGATCGTGAAAGAACAGAGATGCACATGAGGGCTTCGGATTAGTTGTCCTAGGAGGAGGGCTAAGATGCAGCTGCCTTCTTGGTGACACCAAAAATTTCAGGAAAATCGGTCAATGCTTTGGGGTTGTTACCCATTTTTTAGAAGGGAGATTGAGGGTCAAGAGGTCAAGAAGTGCTAATGAATGAATGAATGACCTCAGGATGGTCACAGGTGAGCACAGTGGACCTGCTCAGGATCTGGGCAGATGGCCAAGTGGTGGCAGGACTCGGGGACACAAATCCTATGACTTTGCACCCATGGACTTGGACAATAACATGAGATGTGGCCCCGGAGGAGTCGAGAGCACCTGCTTGTGTGTAAACTGTGCTTACTCTGAACTTGTGAACGGGACATGAGACATACGGGCAAGTGTACTGAAGAGACGGCCGTAACTGGAGAACACAAGACACAAGTTATCTTGCTTTTCAGGGCTTCGCAGAATATGACCTGGAATTTACCAAGGGCCAGAACCATGTGAGTGCATAAAGCTCAGTAACTGTTAGTTTTAGCTAAAACCCCACAGAGTGACTGCTGGCTCGGCTCAAGGGTACAGTCGGCTTGTGCTTTTGTTGATTTCACCTGGGGCTGCCGAACCTGCTCGTATGTGGTGAAATCTCAAAAAAAAAAAAAAAAAAAAAAAAGAGAGAAATACAAATGGAACTGCAGACTGCTCAGGAGGTCCCTTGGTGAGGCCACCATTCCTCTGTGGGATGTAAAAAATCTCGATTCCTAACTTGAAGCTAATCTTCGGTTAATCTCCATCTGCGCGTGGTAGTCTGTGTGTGAAATCCCCAAACAGGGAGATGTGATCAGGATGCGTCAGCCGTGTCCCAGTCAAGCCACTGCCCCCAGTTTGGGAGCTGCAAAGGCCTGGGGCTGTCCAGCCTAATGTCTTTCCCCACCTCCCCTGATGCTGACACCTTTCCCCACTCTGGTGAGATGCTGTGGAAGGTTCCCCCACCACTTTACTTCCTGCAGACCACAGGGTTTCCTGCTCAGCCCCTCCGCTGAGGTGTCAGTCAAATGGGCATTTGTGGTCTAGCCTGGGAGCTTAACTACCACTTAAAACTGTTTCACGTCACAAAATTACCTGCATTGCTAACACAGGAACTTTTCTGCTGGGCTTTTGGGACATTCTTTAGAGAAGTAGGAGATTCTTGAATCCTCTGGCTTGCCTTAGTGCACCTGGCCTCTTGGACAAAGGAGTCATTTGCTCTGGGATAGGTGTACCACCAAGTGTAACAGTCTTTAGAAGACACTGTCCCCTGGAACTGCTCTGTGCCGTCCACCATGTGCATAAACATAAAAGGAGAACCCTGAGGGAAACCTTCAGAGGCAGGGTGTGTGTGTAGCAGTGCTTTAGAATTCTATTTTGAACACCTCTCTCCTCTCTAGAAATCATCTTAAAAGGCTGCTGCTGGCTGGTGACAGAATGGCTTTTTGCTCATCTCATTTTAATATTAGCTATCTCCGGGCTTGCCGTCAGAGTGAGGGATAGGTGTGTCAGCTCCCGAGAGGGCCTGGCGTGGGCAGGGGAGACAGAAAAACAGAAGACAGGGAAGGAGGGTGGCAAGAGAGGAGAGAATGGGGAGAGACAAGGAGGAAGACAGAAGGGGATGAGAGGAAGGGGAGAGAGGAGAGAGAGGGGTCATGGGGAGGGGAGATGGGAAGATGGGGGAAATGGGAAGGAGGGAAGTGTGGAGAGGGAGGAGGAAGAGGAGGGGAGAGAGGAGAAAGGGAGCAAAGGGGAGGAAAAGAGGGGAGTTAGGGGAGAAAATGGAAAGGAGGGGGAGGGGGAAGAGGGAGAAGGAAGGGGAGAGAGACTGACTCTTGCTGAATAATAATAATTTGGGCTGTTCTGGCTTTATTAAAACAAAATCTGCCAAGTAAGCCAAATACCCCACTACAAATAAATGGCAAATGATCAACAGGCTACGTAAGTTCCTTTCGTATGTGGAAATCCGGGAGCTGGAGGTTGGATTTATTTCCCGTCTGGAGGTAATTTTCACACACACCACTTAAATCACTGCTTACTGAAGCTGTTTATTTAATTATTTAGCATTGTGACTAGGCCAGATGTCCTACAAGCACCGCAGACAATCCGATCGCATGCTGGAACAACGTGTTTATGTATGACGGGCCCCGCCGTGCAGCAGTTCCTTCTCCCCTGCGTTCTCCCTGGTCGAAGGTCCCCCACTGGCTGTGGAGCTCCAGGCACCCACAGGCAGCGCCCCTGCGAGGTGCACAGTGAGGCTCTTTCCCCAGCAAGACTCTGGGCACAAAGGCGCCTGTTTCCCATGGCATGTGCATCAGTGGGGCCCTAGATGTTTTAGTCATAGTAACGTTTCCGGGCATTTGGGCAACTGGCTTCGGAAAATGTCCATCTGGATACTTTTCTCTCAGCCCTGGAGCTGAACAAATGGCATTCTCTGTCTGGAAGTGTGACAATGCCATTCAGAGGCACACCCCTTTTCCTTTCCACTGTGGGGTGAATAATGGCTCCTGCTTACTGCTGCTTATAACCTACAGAGGGGGTACTGGCCATAGCATTCAACGTATTACCATGGCCACAAGGCCCATGTTTATCACTGTAAGCATTACTGTGAATAACCAATCCTTGTTTAAATGTCAGGAATATGCAGCTTAAAGCCCAGTGGGTGCTTTCCATAGCAGTTAGGAGCAGATCTGCTATGTTAAAAGGAGCCACACACACGGATTCAGTGAGGGTACATCTGCATCTTGCAATTGAGTTAAGGTTCAAAGTCAGCACATACCGCAAATATGGCTTCCAACAACCATTAAACCCCCCCTTTACACCCCGTAAAGTATGGTGTGCATGGTTTTGTGTATACTCTCAATGAATTAAACACAGTCAGCTTCCCCTCCAGCATTGGAGCAGAGGGCTTCTCTGTTGCTGAGCACTAGATGAAGCAGCTGGCTTATGTTTTGGGGCAAAGCTACACGGAAAAGAGTTTATTGCCCCCTAAACAAACATTACTGAATTTGCATAAGTTAAATGTGTGTATATGACAAGGCTCTACCCTTTAGTAGAATCATGGAACACACGCCACCTTCGCTTTCTGTAACACACTGCAAATTGTGTTAGCAGACATTTCTTTCTTTAGTTCACATGGTGCTTCGTTCAGTTTTTGGTTCTGAGGACTTAGCATGGATCAGGAACTGCTAAGTGCTTTTTTCTCTTACCTGTTATCAGCTGAGTTAACACTTTAGTCTGGTCATTGAGAATGTTCACTGTCACATTTCTGGCTGATTTGAAATACAGGGCATTACCCTGTAATAAGAAAATAAGAGAAACACATGAAAATGGCAGCAGATTTCTAAACGAAAAACTGAAATCCTAACTCTTCAAGGGGCTGCACTGGTTTCAGCCAAGTTCTCATTGATGTGTCTTTATTTGAAAACTTCAAGTGTCTAATGATCCCCACATATGTGATAATTAACTGGCATTCATCCAAAATAGATTTCCTCCAAAGAGACACAGAGAGACAGACACACATTCAAAATAGATTTCCCTAACACACACACACACACACACACACACACACACACACACACACACACATATAAATCAGAAGCAACAGGGTGATACTGAGCCCTGCAAATGTTACTGCAGTGTTAGCGTTGGCACTGGGGTGATCAGGAATGATAATCTCCTAATCT